GCTGTTCGTCGTAGTATTTGAGCCATTGACACAATTTCATAAGTAAACAATTACATTGTACATTAAACTAGCAAGAACTTACTAGAAAATCTAAAGCGAAGTTTTCACAACATCATTAATACAAGACTAATATGAATTTCCTATAAATCCATTTACAGTTCAATTCCTTCTGATGAGGCGTAACGTCAAAGCTCAAAGGTAAATATTACTTTGACTAGTTTTTGATACTATGCTAATCTACCCGAGTATAAAACGTTTTCTTTCAATCTGCTCCGAAGCTAAATGAGTAGCTTTTTCGAACTCAGTGGAAAACTTGTAAATAATGTTTTAAGAAAAATCTCTCCCAAGGCTTTGTGGAATTTCAATTATTATTGTGTTTGTTGTTAGCAATTGGGTGTGTAAATATAGCTTAGAATACTTTTTTAGAAATAATACAATTTTGTTTTTGGCTTAGAATTACTGAAACATTCATTAAATAGGTATGTTATGAAGTTTAAATAAATAATCTTTAACGGTTTAAATTGCGAAGTACATTAGTTAACTTATTTGCAGTAGCCGTGGCCATGGGGGGACTGTAGAAAGTCAAAGTCAAATTTGTTAACTAGCTTTAAGTGCTATTAAGTTATCTGTACTAATCAAGTATCAACTACAGACTACAGACAGTAATTTACAATATGTTATTAAATTTTTGCATGCTTAATATAAATAAATTACCTACTTCTAGTCATTGAAAAATTGTCTGCGAGGAAAAATACATTGGATTTAAATCCTCGAGAGATAGGAAGACACGTTTTCCACAACAAAGAGATATTACTTTAATATTTTAATGTACAAGGAACGCTGTATTCTGTATTAGCCTTATTAAATTCTTATCAAAGTGAAAGTAATACATCTGATTAAAATTCCTTTTCAATAGATCAAATTCTGTGTTAGAAAAAGTATTTATTATGATTAAAATAATAATAATTAATATGCTGTTTTTTATCAAGACTTGTGTTATGTCGGTAGATTAGTTATTTCTGATTTAGTGTTTTGTAGCTGTAACTTTTAATCAATAAATAGTCCTTCTTTGGATTCCACATTTGATTGATGTCTCACTGGCGATGAGATCGGGAATTTCCAAATTTAGAGTAGCGAGTTTATAAGGTATTTCAAGATTGGTAAAATTTAACCATTTATCATAGATTCTAAACAATGGCCGGCGTATATTCGACGCGTAAATCAATACATAAATTTAGATGTCAGTGTCAAAGACAAACTAAAAATGCCTATGTTAATAACGGTGGTTGGCGAAGATACGTATTCGTTGATGTGTGATCTCTGTGCACCGCGATTTCCTGAAAATACGACGTACGAGGAACTCGTAAGTCTAACGGCTTATAAGACTAGAACCAAATATGCCAAGCAGGATATTAAAAGTACAGTAGCAGTAAAAGGCATTTGGTTCTGTTAATTACAGAGAGCAAGATAAGTTGTACCAGATGGGCTCACTGTTGTAAAAAAACCAATGTTTGGGTAAAAACCCCCGGGGGGGGGGGTTTTTTTCCCCCCCGGTCCCCCTTTTTTTTTTTTTTTTTTTTTTCCCCCCCCCCTTTTTTTTTTTTTTTTTTTGGGGGGTTTTTTCCCCCCCCCCCCCCCCCCCCGAGCCACTGTTGTTCAAATTTAATAATGTTGCAAAATGAATTAATGCAAAGTTTTAAACAGTCTTTGACTAAAATTTGACAGGACGCCACTGTAGAGTGTGGTATTTATCACTTTTTCTTCCTAGATAAAATACAATATGTTTTCTCTTTTATAAGTTGAATTCGTGATTAGATTAACCTTGTTTTATTACTTCTCCATGTTTATCAAAATTATACAATTGTTGATTCGTAACCACTACTGTTGCGAATTAACCAAAACTTCGAGTTAGTTAATGTTAACAAAAAATCACCTTTTAAACCGTTGAATTTGTAAATTAAAAATCGATTATTCATCGTTATCGTCGAATTTTTCACCTCTCGCGCCATGTAATTTCAACCTTAACACTTGCGAATTAAGCTTCAAGTCCTGCCCGAGGCCTACATTTTTTCAATTTATAATCGATTTTTAATTTGAATAGTGCCATTATGTGTAATAACATGTGAAAAATATTAAAGTTTTGAAACATTATATTTGTTTTATTCAAACGCAATAACCCAATCACATTTAAAAGATGTCGGATTTTAATGTATTACGTGTTATGATTATATAAGTAAGTGATCGTTCGTAACTGCTAGCCAATTTGATTGTAATGATTTCGTAATTCGGGGGGTAACATACGATGCTTTGGCGGTTCTTCAGCTTGACATATTCACCTCCCGGCCCATCGTTCGTGAGTTGGAAGCCGATTACAATTTCCCTTGTACGCCCTTGATATATCTGGCAAGCCTGTACCGCAAATGGCTGGAAGACATCAATTTTATAGACCATACTAGTTTGGACTTTTGACCCACTTTTAAGAGCTTGGACCCATCACACTGCTCCACTGCAGGTTGGCAAACTATATCCTATATGATAACTAATAAATAATATAACGATATCCTCTTCATTAGGGCAGATAGATGCGAGTGAAGACTTCAAGACCAAGGATCTAAAATTGTCACCAAATGTACCGTGGAGAATTAAAATAATAAAACAATCGACGGTCGTGTTGGATACGCGGCAACTCTATGAAATTAATTTTAACAAATCGATTTGTTCTATGTTGAATGAATTTAGACTTTATATGATTGTTAGTTGTGAGTGCTAAATAAAAAATCTTTACGAGAAACATATACATATATAATATAGGTATGCACATTACAAATGTCTGTTTCTATATTTTATTGGACCTTTTAAAAGTACGGCGTCCATTGACTTGGTAGTAAGTTTACATTTCTCGAAGACCAACATCAAAATAGGACGACAGCACATCTTCTTGGTTATTTCACTTTATATTAAGTGAACGCCATGCTTGTCCGTCTTCTATTTCCCTAGAGGGTACTTCGCCAATAAAATATAACAGTAATACCGCACGACAACTTGCAAAGAAGGACTGTCAAACGCTATTATTGGGCACGTGGGTCGAATACGATGTGAGTTTGTTTACCGAAGGGAGATCGTATTATATAGCAAACGTCATACCGTCTGTCTTGATAGCGGTAACGTTTAAGATGGAGATCTGAGTAACGGTTCTACTATTTGGGACTTGACTTTCGTCACACGTGCTGACGTTAAGGAAACTCAAGATAAGAGGAAAACATTTTTGTGTACAGTAAATAACATACTAACCACCTCAGTAATTCAGTGAATAAATATTTATAGTAACCAGTAACACAATACAAAGATTTGAATCTCCGTTATTCAAACCTAGTAAAGAAAACCAAACTAAAGTACATTTAAATAAAATACTATTACCGGTAATACCAACCACGAGAAAGAGATGGCGCTAGCGTAGCAGGTTTGACTTTGACAATATGCCATTTAACACGACGGCTACGCCAAAGTATCATTTATAAGAAAAGAAGTCAATCAGGGAACAGAAATCTGACTACCTATCAACTGTCTGATGACTGAAACAGACACAGAACTGTGTTTGCAACATGCCCCACATTAGGGAAAAGATATTTTAAGAAAAAGAAACAAAAAAATAGTTTTCTTTACTGTGACAAATCTTTTTTAAACTTCTTTTTGTCGTAATTAAAAGTTTGTAAAATGTCACACATGGAATCCATAGTTACTCATTGAGAAAGGTCCGGTTCGTAAACCTTGTCCTTACTGGTTGACAAATACCTGCTTCCGGCACTTTTCGATCAAGATCGATTGACTCATTACACTATGCTTTTACTGTGCATTTAACTAGAAATAAAAATAATAACTAAAAACAATAATTACTGGGAAATACTATCGAATAAAATACCTTAACATTCAAAATATGTGTACAGTAGACATCCTTTGAAATTAGTCTTTAATAACTTAACCAATGAAATATGAATTGTGCTCAAATATTACATCTTTATTTATCGTGTTTTGTAGTTTACACGTGTTTGTGTACAAAAAAAAATTGCCCACCGTGACCGACGGTTGTGAGGTGTCGGGTCATAGTTTTGGTTTTAGATTTTTTTCCTTGAAAGCCATTCATTAGCAAAAACATTCGACATAGTAAGAAATAAATAAACATATTTCACATTCTTAACACTTAGTAGGGTTTTATTTTGTTGTTTTTATTATTTAAGGCAATGTTACCAAAGTAAATTGTATCAACTTATCTCCATTGACAAGGTATAAAATATAGACAAGTTACGCAAAGGTTCGTTACCTTAACCGGTCTAGGGAATTACCCGCAGGGTAATCCACATGTAATATTAAAAAGACGAATCATGTTTTCAAATTAACGCTCTCAGTCTTTTTGTGGCTTCTAGTGGAAAAGTAGGCTTAATTATATAATGACTATAAGTTACAACCGGATATTATCAAAAGCTGGATTAAAAATACTTCAATTAAGTGTAACTTAAGTATTGTCTGCAGTTGACGCGAGTAGAACACATTAAAATAAAACACTTTTAACGGTTTAAAACACGAAATATATTAGTAGCTAAAAATAATTTGTAAATAATTTAACCGTTAAAATTCCGCGTTTTAAGTAGCTTTTGAAATTATTTTTTTAATTTTATTCTTTAAAATGTGGCACTAAAACTAAATAAAATATATCAGCTCACGTTATTTTTAGTAATATCTTCGGGTAACTGAAATATATTGACAATGTAAACATTAAAAAATATATTGATTACTTCTATAAACTTCTTTCTTTCGAACAAAATATTTTTGAATTGAAATCAAGAACAAATACTACATATCATTTCGTATTAGTCATTTAGTCGTTTTGTACATAATTAGGTTTTAGCAATAATATCGCACCTTATGAGGAAACCCACTCACTTAAAATAGAAACTATAAAAGGAAACGTGTTCACTTCGGGTATTTCGTCATTCGCTCACACAATGCCAAGCCTATCAGTTCTGTGTCTTCTGTACTTGATGTTGGAAGTGAACACACGTAATATCTATTATCCGATTTACCACGAACCAAGTGCAATAGTGTTCGAGGGACCGACCAATTATAATGAGACTCATCAAGATAATAAAATCGAAAACCCAGTTTACGATATAGATATAAGATTTGGTAAGGACGAATGTCCGCCTGGATTTGAAATGGTGGGAACGCTGTGCTTCCCCAACGATTAGGATTGGTGGTAGCTTATTATTGGATTATTATTACCCGTTGTTTCGACGAGGAATACAAGATCGTGTTGTGATGTGAAGAAGTAAACAGTGTTATTTTACACCGAAGGACTTAACTGTGACAAAATATATAATTAAGTAAATATATTTTTTTATTTAAACATAAATTCCAATCAGATAATATTACATCTGTAATGTCCATTTGCTTATCGATTGTTTAACATAGTAGCATTTTTATGACTTCTAAAAAACTATAAAATACAACGGTTACGTATACTGTAGTTATAAAAACATGATAAAGAGTTTCTATATAATAAACAGTTTGGTCAATGGGCATTCATGTGTTTTTTATAACAATTTCTATTATTCTTCTAAAACGCAACAAAGAAACATTTATATAAAAATCCAACAAATATAAGATCAGTCGAAAAATATAAGAATCGTTTCGTTCCGGCAGGCTCTTACGCTGCGAAGAGTATTACTGTAGAAAAGTAAGTACTGGACCGATTTTAGTAGGTCTTTTGTTTATTTTTTACCATTTATAAATTTTTATTTAAATAAATTTTAGATTTTAACAATATTATAAATGCGAAAGTAACTCTGTCTCTCTATCTGTTTGTCTGTCCGGCTTTAACTCCGAAACTGCTGAACTGATGAGCCTGAGAAAGGACATAGGCATATGTAAGGATATAGGTATATAGCCAAATAGAGGTTTGTAGGGGTTGAAAAAGAGGATGAACGTTTGTATAGAAATTCATGGTTTTTTAAGCTAGAACAATGAAACTTTCTTTTTTGGTTTTTGGGAATAGGGGTGGTATTGGGAGTGGGAGTGGGAGTGGAGTAGGGAGAGTGGGAGAGAGTAGGAGTCATGTGAGGTGAAAGTGTTGCGGCAAAGTAGCACTTACAACATAGATTGGCTGCCCTAAATGCGCCCTTACATAAATTAATAAACAGCCTAAATAATTAAAAATTCTACCACAACTCACTATTCCACGCGGACGAAGTCGCGGGCACAGCTAGTAATAGATATAATATATATAATACAATAGAATGTCTCTCAAGTAAATGTTAAATGTATGTGGTACCTAAAACCTCACTCACTCGTTAAAACAAATAAGTACACATACCTCTATTACTAAGTAAACTTATCTCATCTTTGTAAATCAAAACAAAGGTCATCTTTACGCGTCAAAAAACATATTTTGCTTGAGGCTGTTTCTCAATATTTGAACGGCGCTAAATCAGAATCTCAATTTCAGTCTAGGCTACACTGTCGAGTCTTGAAATATCGTTGTTTGTAAATTCGTTTTGTTACTGAAATACGAAGCATTTTAAAAAATTGAAATGGTTTGAGAAAAATATATTATACATTGTTCTCACTTAATCGTATCTGTTGTACCGACGATCTCTAATTGAATTCGTATTGTAACAACGAAGAGAAAAATGTAATATTGTGATGATAACACTAGTTTAATTTTTATACAAATTTATTAAAAGGAGTGAAATAAAAATGCGCAATAAACTTCCGCGAAAATCAATTTGTCCTATTATTTGTGTAAGAAATATATTAACTATTTTCGGTCATTGTGTTCTTGTAGATTTACATTTTTTAGGCTTATAAATAAGTCAAATCATAGAAATTGCAGTTAGGCTACTATGGCTCTAGCGGCCTTATACCTTGCTATTTTATTTTAATAATTATTTTTACCAAAATTACGAGTACTATATCGATCTAACGCTTACTATAATATTTTGGCTTTGTAGGTTAGTCGTTAAACGAATGGTCATGCATTAATTTTAGTGTTGGTTAATTCTCAGTTCGAATCCCGAAGAAAGAAACGGATATAGAGTATATATATATACTCTATAGACCGGGGACACAGGATTGCGTCAACATTCCATACGCATGTCAAACATCTTTTTTTGGTTTTTCCTAAACAACATATATTAAATTCCAATACACGAACCTTCCATTTAAAGTTATTAAGAGTAGAAGGGATTAAACCCTGTGAATTCTACCTGTTGGTCTTAAAGTAGTTTGTCCTTTTCACTTGGTAACATCAAAGTAAGGGACTTGCTAAAGAAAAGAATGATTGATCGCTATGTAACATAATGATATAACTATACCTTGCTTATTTATCACGAATTTTTAGAATATATCGACACATATAGAAATAGAAATAATGATTTGTTGTTTATATGTTTCTTGAATAGTAAGCTGTTTAAGTTATGTCTGTAATCTACGCGAGTAGTAAACATTTAATATAATTTTATATTCAATGTTAAGTTAAAGTAAAACATTTCACGTTTGCAAAGTAATTTAATTTACATAAGCTTTTTTTTAAATAAAACACTTTAACGGTTTAAAACGCGATATATTAGTTAAACTTATTTGAAAATGATTTTTAACTTCGGCCCGACGTTTCGGATACTTTGCAGCAGCCGTGGTCACGGGGAGACACGTGACCCGTGAAAATGTTTTATTTAAATGTGTACTACTCGCGTAAACTATAGACAGTATTTAAGCTTTTTTTGTAAAGTTGTTAGGAAGGAGAAGTTAGTAAGGTTTTTTTAACATATATTTTAATTTGGCGATCATTGTGTAACGTAACGAGATGGTTAAATTTAAATTCAATGACAAAAAATGTTTAAACTTGTACATATTAGAAATAAAAGAATGATGAAAGACAGTTACATTACATCAGAGCTGCGTACACAATCTCATGTTTAGAACCATGATAATTTTGTATCATTTAAATAAAACAGTTAAACGGTTTAAAACGCGATATATATTAGTTAAACATATTACGAAAGCCACAAAGATTAATAATTTACTCCGTTTTTTCCACATTAGCCGCTGTTGCTTCAATCCTAAAAGGCACAGCGTGATGGTTATAGGCTATAATAGCCTATATAGCCTTCCTCGATAAATGCACACACAAAATTATTCAATTCCCATCAGTACTTCCTGAGATTAGCGTGAAAACAAACTCTTGAGTTTTATATATTAGTTGGTATATAAATAACGAATATAAATACTGAACAAAGTATAATACATATAAACAGCGAGCAAGCTTCATATTTATCCGCAGACGAGTCAAGAACAAGGTAAACATCGTTAGTATTTAATGTTCGTTAAAGTTGACATTACACGTTTGTACTCGTGTGCTAGGTTTTGCGAACGAAATAATAACCTTTTTAAGTTTAAGCAAATTCTTTTTTTCGAGGAGGTGAGACATGCAGGGCATTCACTTGAAAGGAGATAGGCCTCAGCCCTATCTTATCCAACTAAGCAAATTGCGCTGTCAGCTTTTCTAATGTTGTATACTTACTTCACAGCTATTCCTTAAGTAGACGGCGGCGACACATATTTTTTTATATTTTCATCAATCGTTTGTAAATAAAAATTGATCTAAGATTTAAAAAAAATTCAACACGGACAGGACTTGAACCGGCATCGCGTTCCGGGCTCTTGCTCTAACCAATTGAGCTACCGTGTTAACAAGAACAGTATAGAGCAAACAGCGCGGATGCCGCTTCAAGTCTTGCCCTTGTAAAAATAAAATTATATAGTTATTTCACTTCAGTTTTCACACTAATTTAGTTTCAAAACAATGATTTAAATAAAACACTTTAACGGTTTAAAACGCGATATATTAGTTAAACTTATTTTAAAATGATTTTACTAAAATATCCCCTTTTTCCCCCTTTTATTTTTTTTTTTTATTTTCCCCCCCCCCCCCCCCCCAAACATTTTTTTAAATTTTTTTTTTTTTTTTTTTAGGGAGGGAATTATTTTTTTTTTTTTTTCCCCCCCCCCCCCCCCCCTTTCCCCCCCCCCCCCCCCCCCCCCCCCCCCCCTTTTTTTTTTTTTTTTCCCCCCCCCCTCTTTTTTTTTTTTTTTTTTTTTTTTTTTTTTGTGGTTTGGGGGGGGGGGGGTTTTTGGGGCCCGGGCTTTTTTTCCCCCCCTTCCCCCCCCTTGGGGGGTCCCCCCCCCCTTTTTTTTTTTCCCCTTCCCCCCCCCCCCCCCCCCCCCCCCCCCCCCCCTTTTTTTTTTTTTTTTTTTTTTTTTTTTTTTTTTTTTTTTTTTTTTTTTTTTTTTTTTTTTTTTTTTTTTTTTTTTTTTTTTTTTTTTTTTAGAAGGGGGGGGGGTAACTTTGGCCCGACGTTTCGTTTAAAACGCGATATATATTAGTTAAACTTATTTGAAAATGGTGTCTCATGTCAAAGTAAAAATTGTTACGCTAGCGCCATCCGTTTCATCGTAGTTGGCATTTGGCAAATAAGTTTAACTAATATATCGTGTTTTAAACCGTTAAATAATTTTATTTAAATGTGTACTGCTCGCGTAAACTTCAGAGAATGCAATGTTAATTGTTTTCTTTATATCTGACGTCATATTTGGTTTCAAGTCTCGAGGCTATCAAACTCCGCTCTCGGTTTATCGGAATAACTGCAAAAGCCTCATATTGTGAGGCTTGTCCGAATTGAATGGAGTTTTCGACAACCTAAAAACTGCACAAACATTGACTTTTATCGAATAAAAACTCACTAAAAATGGGCACTTTAATTCGATAGAAAAATGCTCTTGAAAAGCCTTTGATGTTTACGCGTTCTCTTTTTGAAAACATTTTTGAATAAAAACTACAGGGGCTGATATTAAATCAGCGCCAGAAGTATTACTGACCGTCAATTTTGTGCTCGATATTCACAAACGCTTTTTCGTAAAAATATAAACATTTGTCGAACTAGTATTGGAGTTAAATAGAAATATTTGTCAATTAAAAATTTTAAGTTATGGATATTCAAATGCATGTATTTTATTTATTAAGCAGATTTTAAATAATTTACTATTCATTTTTATTCCATAAACCTTGAGATGACAGTATAAAATAAAACAAAAATAAAATATACTTTATTCTCTTTAAAATTTTAAAAATTATTTAGATTTGTCATTATTTTTTTCAATGTTTGTCTGTCTGTTCGTCGTGATTCTACAGAGTGTTCAAAAGTGCCACATAACTGAGAAGAACACCGAAGAAACTCATTCCAGCTCTTTACCATGCCTTATAAACTAAAACATTGTTGTGAATTTAGTAACCTAATATACATATTATAATTTTAACTAGTACTAATAGTAGGTACAAGACACATACGAAACATCGCCACTAGAAATTAAAAAGTGTATAAGAAAAAAAGTGAAAAAGTTAGATTGTAGCAATAATTTAGGCTAGCGAGATTGATGGGGGCGCACCGTGACGCGCGTCGGGCCGGCTCCGTCTCCGAAGTGAAGATTAATGACTATTGGAGGCTTTACAACTCAGATAATAGATGATTTTATAACAAATACTTCCATGCCCACTGTTGCTTCAAAGGATTACCGCTGTCAGCTTTAGCTTGGCGCTAAATCTACGTTTCTTTGTCTACCTTACCACAGACGATATTCGGAATTCAAAAGTTACACAGACTATGGTTAAAAAATAAATTATTAAAAAAAAACATAGTACTCTCTTTAACTGTTATATACAAATATAAATACTGAATATTTAAATAAAACACTTTAACGGTTTAAAACGCGATATATTAGTTAAACTTATTTGAAAATGATTTTTAACTTCGGCCCGACGTTTCGGATGCTTTGCAGCAGCCGTGGTCACGGGGAGACAACGGCCGAAACGTCGGGCCGAAGTTAAAAATCATTTTCAAATAAGTTTAACTAATATATCGCGTTTTAAACCGTTAAAGTGTTTTATTTAAATGTGTACTACTCGCGTAAACTATAGACAGTATTTAATACTGAATATAATAAATAAAGACAAGCATGATATTTATATCGTATTTTTAACTTCTTTTTCTTTTTATCACATTTTAGTAGTTTACATAGTAAGTATTAACACTATCTACTTTCGCGATAAGCTATAAAAAATTAAAAATAATTTTTAGTCGAATTCCTACACTCTTTGTGTCAAGATTATATCATAAGAAAACTTGGTTTCCGCCTGTAAATCAACATAACTCTTTTCACCAATTCTTAACAAAACATATAATAATATAAAAATAGCATAGATTATTTCTAATCATATACAACGTGAAATAAAGCTAATAGGTAACATACTCAAACTCAATTCCGTCCCGTGAATATTAAAAGACCTCTTACTTTCTATTGTGCTCAGTAATTGGGGCATGTTCTGAACAATGGTTATTTATTTTTTGAAAAGAAAGTGCGTTTGAATTTAAGATTATTAATTTTTTTTCGAATAATATTAACGTTTACGCAAAATTAAACTTGGTTAATATGTAACCACTTGTAGCAACTGTTATCTGTCGTATAATTAAATACTAGCTATGTTAGCGACTTTGTCCGCGTAGAATAGTTATTTTGGGCATCCAAATTTGTTTTTACAAACCTCCTCTCCAACTCGATCGCTTTCCGTTGTTTTTAGTTTAAGTTAATCTTAAAAATTCTTTCATATATATTTTTTGTGTATCTTGAATCGTTTTCGCAACTTACGTTCCCGATTAACCCACAAAGATGGATGATTTTCCCCGTTTTTTCCACATTTTCCGCTGTTTCTTCGCCTATTAGTCGTAGTGCGATGTTTTATAGCCTATATATACCTTCTTCGATAAATGCTCTAAGTAACAAAAAAAAATTCAATTAGAATTAGTAGTTCTTGAGTCCGCGTTCAAACTTAAAAATAAACAAACTCTTTAGCTTTATATATTAATATAGACTAGCAGACTGCACCGAGTTTACAAGCACAAGAATTCAGTAAATATTTCTGAAATTATACATTTTTACACACAAATACAATCCCAAAACGACGAATTTTTAATCGACGGCGCAATTAAAAACTGTATCCTTACCATTAAAACATCAAAGTTAGGATCCGAATCTAAATTAAAATGCACCTTTTTGAAAAAAAGGTCTCCTTCGAAGTTAAAGAAGAGAATATTGAAATCTATGATTAAGAAAACATAATAAAACTAAGGAACATTGAAGTCTGAACTATTTTCTTTGACAGTTTAAAAAATTCCAAAGTTGCAAGTAACGGACTGTATATTTAACTTCTTCGAGCGGAGATTACAGAAGAAAGAAATGCAAGTAAGTCCCCGAGGTCGTTTAACTGATTAAATCCTGGACTTAAGACAAAAGCCACAGTAGAGCTGTTGGGGTCGCGGTTAATCCTATCTCCGAAGTGAATTAACTTTATATAAATTATTTAAGCACCGGATGTGTTACATTTTATTTTATTAACCTTTTGTTATAAAAGTTGAGTAGCTTTATAAAGCTCCATGGTACATACTGTCTGTAGTTTACGCGAATACTTTAAATAAAACACGAACGGTTTGAGATACCATGTATATTACGCCGTCTTGTCGTTTGACCCCGTGACCACGGCCGCTGCGTAGCATACGCCGGGCCGTAGTTAGAATAATTTTCAAAATAATTTGAACTAATATATATCGCGTTTTAAACCGTTAAAGTGTTTTTTTTAACTCCGTGGTACAGTCCAGCAAAACGAACATCAAGGTTCGGGTAGTCCTTTTTCGTACCATCCAATAACCTATCTTTTAACGTGTCTACTGTGATTGTTGTCCACATTATTGATTGGCTCTTGCATACAGGGGTTTAACTTTCTAGAACATATATTAGGTACTGTACCTTAAACCATTTGAAAAATATTTTTGACTTCGGCCCGGCTTTAACTAATATATATCGCGTTTTAATCCGTTAAAGTGTTTAATTTAAATGTGTACCAATCGCGTAAACTACAGATAGTATTTATATATTTTCTTTTCAAACTTTATTCTCTTAACTTTTTAAGATATATTGATATCATTGGTATTTAATTTATATATATATATATATATATATATATATAACCAACGCATACAATTATTAATTATATCATTAAACGTTACCTAAATAAAACTGGTTAGAGCTCATATTTGTCGAATATTTCTCAACATCAGATTCGGCTAAAATATTTCATATGTGTTGTTCGGTTCACCTAAATTTATATCATAGCTCTTGAAATTAAATTTATACTTCAAATAGCCGGCCAAGTTAAGTAGTTTTAGTTCTAAATTACAAACTGTTATTTGATTATGTTGCTATTTTATTTCATTCGTCTTATTTATTACGAAGATTTTGAAATCATATAGTCTGATTATATCTTATTGAAGAATTTGAGTGATGTAAATTCATTATTTCTAACATAAACTACAGGAGAACTTTCAGTTTTCTAGAACTGGAAATAAAAGATTGAAATATTTTACTTATTGCTATTACTTACTTTAGTTTAGTTGTTTCCTTTTGTTCGTATAGGTGTATTTTCTTTGCTTCTAATGCTGTATCTTTTGAATTTCATTTACCAGACCTACAATGAAGTTAAATAAAAACTCACCCTCGCAATTAGTAAGCAGTGAGCGGGATAAATTAACGAACATAAAAAAGGGAATATCTCATTTAAAGTTATTAAAATATCGTATAATGAAAAACAAAATAGATTCACTATTTTATTGTAACAAAACTCAGAACAACAAATTTTAACTTTCAAACTCCAATATCCCTTTTAAATAAGGGCTCACATTATTTCAAAGGGATATTAATATACTTTATAAAAGTAATTTCAGATTTTAAGGAACTTAAGAGCTTCTTAAATGTTTAAACGACTCGAAATAATTTATAACATTAATTACTATAGTAGGTATGTCTTCGATAAGAGAAATGTTAACTATTTTTATATTAGAGATATGTACATTATTATTATATAATATTTACACCTAAAATAACTAAGTACTTAGTTTACTCGTATCGTTGATTAAATTTCTATATTTAATAACATGAATATAATAAAATATCATACATTACATATCAAAATGCTATGCACTAAGGATGCACGAGTAAGTACTAAGTGAATAACATCATTATATTTTACATCATAACTTTAAAATCACTACGGAATTCAATTCATTAATATATTTATGTGAGTAATCGATAAATATACAACACCTAATTCTGAAGAACTCTTACATTGAGCAAGTCGAAATATATAGTTATATACATATTGGCACAGCTTACGGCTTCATACAGAGCAATTTCTTAAACGCCCTTCTGAAATCCATATTAAATATCGTGTATATTAAAGGGTTTAGGGCTGAATTTACATATCCCAGCCAAGTTACGAAGTTCGTGAACTTGTTCGATAAACAGCAGCTCGAACAAAACGGTATTACGAGATATAGGACAAAGAATGGAAGCCAACACACGACGAACACTCCCATTATTATGCCGAGAGTCCTCGCAGCTCGACGCTCTCGAGTTAATGATATTCGTTGTTTCTCCTCAATGAACTGGTACACGGTGTTCTGCTGATTGGGTCTCAAGCGCTTTTGAGACTTGGCAGAACCGGCTTCCACAACTTCTAGATCTTCGTCGTGGGTCTCCTTTGAGTTACTCTCGGAGGAGGTGTTGCGATTCTCCGGATTATCAATCATATCGCTAACAGAATTCTCATTGGACAGAATCGGTACGATTAACTTATTTTGCGACTTATCGTCTTTACTCCAGTATCGCTTCTTGGGTTTCTTTTTGGGCGTCGCTTTCTTTGTCTTCTTCTTCTCATTGTCGGAGACGAGTCGAGTTACACCCTGATGTTCGTTATGATTTGCTTCAGAACTGACAGAATCCTGGTCGTGCGGGTCGCTATCTTTCGGCGTGTACTTACTCTTTCCTGTAGATATAGTACTAATCTTTGTGGCTTTAGCTCGATCGCGGAGTCTTTTCTTCGTCGCTAAATATATTTCAAAGTAAACTACCGTCATTATAACTAATGGTATATAGAAGGAACCGGAAGATGAAAATATAACAAAGCCCGGCTGCGACGTCAATCGACAAGGCGTGTCAGGTTCAAACACTTCGGGCCAATCGTTCCATCCCAATAACGGTGGCGAGCTAATGACGAGGGACAAGATCCAGACGATACCGATCATTAGGAGCACTCTTTCTAAGGTCCTCTTTTGGGCGTAATTTATGGGGTCCGTAATTGCCCAATATCTGTCCAAGGCGATCGCGCAGAGGTTCAAAATTGATGACGTGCAACACATTATGTCGCAGGTCAGCCACATTTTGCACACATAAATCCCGAACACCCATTGTCCTAGAATCGAATAGGCGACGTTCAGCGGTAGAACCAATATGGCAACTGTTAGATCGGCCACCGCCAGTGAAACAATAAAGAAGTTTTGTACTATGCGCAGCGGTTTATAAGTGAATACGCTTAAAATTACGAGGATGTTCCCTACTATGGTGGAAATAATAATGAGAGTGAGTACGATGGCCGTGCAAATGGCCTCCCATTCTGGCACGGCCAGCGTTATTCCCAAGCTACTGGGATATTTAGGGTCATCAGCGACCGCACACTCGTCTTTATCTAACTCAATTATATCGTAAGCTGGGCTGTTATTTGATGAAGTGTAATTATTATGGACGTGCGTGTTCGTCTGACCCATTTTGTTAATTCGCCGGCTTCATTTCACGTGCTATTATTGACATTGAGTGAGAACATTCTCGTGCTCAAATTGTAGTTATTTCTTTTTTTATTGTCGTCTTGTACGATATTCAGAATGACGGAACATTCCATCTTATATAACGGCGAAACGACACTGGATACTTCTTTGTATAGTTTGAAGAATCTTTTCAATTTGTAATTATCGTAGTGCAGATAATCTAGATTCATATTCTGACGAGATTAAATCTGAAACAAAAGAAAGGAAATATAAGAGTTTTTTATTAGTATTAGTTTTTATTGTGATTCTATTTAGAATTTTGGAAAAAAGTATGATAAATTATACTTTAGAAAATACTTACTTACGTAACTTATTAGTACCATTTAAGTTTATTTAATTGTGATTAACCGCATATATTAGTTAAATTTATTGGAAGAAAAGTATAAATGATAAATGATGTCTGATGTAATATTTTAGTGATATTCTAGATATTTTTGTTCGCATAATATCTTCAGTGTTCCGAGGTCGTTTATAAAATATAGGAGGAGAGTATGGATTTGACAGCAACGACTTCAACCGCGAAACACCTATTTCTAGCGTCTTTATATTCGCGAAATTGCGAATATCAAAATCTTGCAAAAAAAAAACAAGTCTTCGAGACGCCTTTCTTAAGTTTGAAATTGTGAAACAGAAACAGGGGTGAAAGTTATAAATTAAGTTATTTATTAAGTTATTTAATGAAAATAAGTGCTTACAATTTATTAACTATATAAACAAAAGCATATCACTTCAGTACTGAACTAACTGCTGGACATAGGTAACGCGCGTATTGGGTGACAGAAGATTAACATTACATTATTTTAACTAAAAAACCCATTATATTACTTAAAATGATTCGAATAAATATTCTTTATAATACAAGAGCTTACACACCTTTGATAATGATTTACATCATATTTTCTTACGAAAATCACGATAGTCTTGCAAAAGTTGTAGTATACATGCTGTTCTTTGATTTGTATATCTTTATCTACCAAATTGCATCGAATATAAACTGATCAATTACTGCATTATTTAGATTACACATATCTTCTAAGCACTAATAAACGTGACTATAGAAAGATCACGATAAAATCATCTATTCCTTTTCAATAAAACACTTTAACGGTTTAAAACGCGATATATTAGTTAAACTTATTTGAAAATGATTTTTAACTTCGGCCCGACGTTTAAAGTCTCCCCGTGACCACGGCTGCTGCAAAGCATCCGAAACGTCGGGCCGAAGTTAAAAATCATTTTCAAATAAGTTTTACTAATATTTCGCGTTTTTAACCCGTTAAAGTGTTTTATTGAAATGTGTACTATCGTAATTAAGTATTTTTTCATCTATTCCTATAAAACATGATATGTTTAAGCATCCTGCCTCGTCCAATGTATTATTCCCATTATTTCGGTGAAAGCCAATAACCACGTAGCGAGGTCAATACGATTACAGAATTTCGAATAAGTGTTACAACCAATTTCATTTAATGCGATCTTGGTAGTCATAGTGTGGAAAGATACGCACCTTTTATGAGATAAAAAAAAACGAAATATTTTAATAAAAGTACCGTGGTCACAGGGAGGCTGAAACGTCGGGCAGGAGTTATAATAATTTTTCAAATAAGTTACTAATATATATCGCGTTTTAAACCGTTAACGTGTTTCATTTAAATATGTACTACTCGCGTTAACTATAGACAGTATTTAACTAAATATTTATTCGACAATGTTTGTGTGTGAAATAACGTTTCCCATCCGTTCTTTAACAGGCAAGTAGTCGATCAGGTTTCTGTGCCAGGGCACAAGCAAGCTTGACCGAAACAATTTTTTGTTTCCCTGCGATTCGAACCCAGGACCTCTTGCGGTTTAATGCTAGCCAGTACTTTCAACCAATTTTCTACAGAGGCGACAATGTTTAAACAAGACTTATTTATTTATTCTTTCTTTTTAAATTGAATATATTATGTACATCATATCAATGTACTAAAATAGAAGTTAGATAAGCGTAAATCTTTGTTTTTGTAGTAATGTCTAGGTTGAAAAACTAAAATTTTATAATGCCGTATTACTTCTATAGGTTATGTGAGTTCATCTTTAGTTTAGTAGATTATTGTAAGATACGCAATAACCTGAATAACGTCTATCATATTTGAAGATCACTTTATTTATTTCTAATAATTATGTTCTTATCTAGTCTATGACCTTTCACTTTAACTTCATGATATACACAGGGGATCTAAAGGTAAGGTTACTCTTTGATTTATTTTTATCCATTTTTACCTCTTTAAAAGGTCACTGTATAATCGCTTCCACCGCCTCTGTAGCCAAATGGTTATACGTATTACCTAGCATTGCGTTAAGCGCGAGAGATCCTGGGTTGGGATCCCACTGAAACATAAAATCGTTCCGGTCGGGCAGGGCACAGAAGTGTGATCAAGTAGAACAACCCGTTAGAACGGATCAGTGAAACGGCCACAGAAATGTGTTCGCCCCATGCCCCGCGAGAGGGAAACGGGCTTTCACATAAATAATCGCTTCCCTTTTCAGAAGGGATGATTTTGACATTAATTTGATTCCGTTTAGAATGTCCCAGTAACATTACGAATCCTTAGTGAAAAAATATTTATAACAGTGACCTATGAATTTCTAATATCATAAACTAAAAAAGCATGCATAGTGCATATGCATGTGGTATATAAATCCAAAAATCATTTTCAAATTATTATTATGGTACAAAGGCACAATTAAAAGAAAAAAAGATATATTAAAGTCGCTCAGAGTTTTCCTTTGTTTTTGGGGTACAGGAGAACGATAATCATGGAGTAAAGTGATGAAGGCGAGATACCTAGCCATATAACATACGATGTCGCCTATTTTGGTTTTGGGTATTCAGAAATATAAGGGGTCTATAGAGGTTACAGCTTTTTCATTTGTAAACAATGTTATGTGGCCCGGACGGAATTTCGGTATTTCTACCGCCAAATTTAAATCCAGATTTGAGACGAAGTCTAACATTTAGAGAAAAAAATTACATTTTTGACCCGGTAGGTATCGTACCCACGACCCATTGGTTATTATTATTATTGGTTATTTATATTAGGCATACATTGCTACCATTAAAGCAACGATATCGTCTGATTTCTGAAGGAAGCTTCGATTTTGACACAGCGATTTCTTTTATTACAAAATGTTCATTCAATCATTTACTTATAAATTGTATATAAAAACTTAGCTTTGTAAACACCTTATAAACGAATCTGTAAAAGCTTTGAAATCTAAGACTTTCTTTAATATTTTCCATACACTGAATAAGAATTCACACAGATAGGAAATCTCAAACAACGAACTGTCTACATATTATGTTGTTTCCATGTAATCCTAGTTCATGCAAGTTGAGTAAGTAAATATGACATAAAGTTTTAGTTAAAAGTTATAAGAGGTAGCGATTTAGAGTTATCTTTATGACTGAAAAAGACTATGCTAATGAAATGTACTAGCTTTATTATATCTAACTAGCTGTTACCCATGACGTCGTCCGCGTCCTGTCTTGTTAGCAATTTAATTTTAAAATGAAGACATATAATGTTGTAAGATGTTGAAGCCCTGAAAGATGCATAATTTTCCACATTATCAAAATGTTTTGTTTCGCTTCTATTGGTCGCAGCGCAATGTTATACAACGTAAAACCTTCTCCGATAAATGGCCTAACACACAAAAAATGATTTTTTCAATTGAGTTTCAAATAGATTATTAAATCGTTTAAACAAATGAACTCTTTAACTTTATAATATTAGTATAAATATAGATTAAGTTACGCTGTCGTCTTATTTCAGCGTTGATTGTCCAGTTTTACAAACGCTTATTGTATAATAGCAAATGATATATATTACAGTTATTAGAAAAAAAAAATATTGATAGACGAAAGAATAGATATATAAATTTGGGCTTTGTGTGTCAAGCTTTAGCGCTTGAATTGTAATGTCGAAAAATGTTCTATTTTTAAATATTTTCTCGCCTTTTACGTAGTGAAAAGAGCTTTCACATTCAATATATTGATACTCCAAGTACGCGATGAATATATCACAAATATCAGAACGTATGTGAGGTTCCTTTGAAAGGATTATTTTTATCCCAGTAAAAGCAACACGTCAAGGAAGTCTCAATATTGTTAAAGCATTAACATGACTTGTAAGCCGATTCTAGATACGGTTGGAGAAAGTAAATTTAGATTTGATAAATTATATAAAAATTCTGTATACAACAGGGTAATTTTTTCTTCTCGTAAATCTATTTATTTGTAAGTTATAGTGATAATTAATTAAAAATATAGTTTTTGGATTGTGTAATAGTAGCAATGATCAACGGTTCCAACATTTTACTAATCAATTTATAAATCGTATGAAACATGTTGGACTTCGTCTGAAAATCTGAAAATTAAATGAGTGTTAGGAATATTGAAATTCCATCCAAGTCACGAACCACCGACCCCAGATGTAAAAGCCTTCAAGTTTAATCGCGTTTCGGTTTCAATCTGTAGAATTCCGAATATCCAAAGTCAAAATACAGCGCCTCTTGTTCAATTGTTTATTGCTGAAATTTCATCTACCCTCACGACCCCATCCATGGTTGTCACTTCCAAATAACCATTAATTTCCAGAAATTACATTCTTTTCAATTTATTTTATTACTTAACTGTGACTGTTATTTTTTTAGGTGTCGATTTTTCTTGTCCTATTGTCAGACATGGGGTGGACACTGTCCCCTTTTTCATTTATCGATTTTTATTAAGCAAGTCATTGATCAAACTTCCGTATCCTGCCTGACCGAAACGACTTGTATAATTTAAATAAAACACTTTAACGGTTTAAAACGCGATATATTAGTTAAACTTCTAAATCTATAACTAATATATCGCGTTTTTATCCGTTAAAGTGTTTTATTTAAATGTGTACTACTCGCTA